TGGAGCCATTCAGTCATGGCATGAGACTGCACCACTGCCCGAGTCAGAGTGGAGATTCCTTCCAGAGATTCCTCACGTAGGTCCTGGGAGCTGTCTGTCGCCATCCACATGTGGCCTGGTTAAGAGCTTCTGTCCTCCTAAAGGGCTGCTCAGGGTCCTTCTGTCCCATCTGTTAATTGCTCGCCTGGAGTTGAAATTACTCAAGAAAACAAGTGTAGCAGAAGGCAGACAGCAGCTTCCCAAAGATATCCCCGTTCCAGCCCCAGGACCTGTGAGTGTGCTCTCTTGCACAGCAAAGGGGGCACTACAGGAGTAAACTGAGGCTCATGGGGGGGATTATACACAATTACCAGGTGGGGTCCAGAGGAACCCTAATGGTCTATACCAATGAAAGAGAGAGACAGAAGAGACAGCTCAGAGGAGAGGCGTGCGCTGAACAGAGGTTGGAGGAGGCACTCACTGGCTGGGGCCAAGAAATGCAAATGGCCTCCCCTGCAACAAGGCCCTGAGACACCATGACTGCAGCCTTGCAAGACTCATTTGATTTCTGACTCCAGAAGATTCGTTGGTGTTTTAAACTAATAACTTTGTGACAATTTGTTACTGCAGCAAAAAGACACTAATAGACATTCAGATCCCTCTTCTCCACACAGGCCAAAACTCAGGCAGCAAGGCCTGCAATGCTGTCACTTTACCAAGTACAACAGTGATGAGTTTTGGCTATACTTTGGGAGGAGAGCAAGGCAGCTACCACTCTCCTGAGTTCTTAGAGCTGTCTTTGAAAATCATGCGCGAAGGCCTCCCAGTGGTCAAGAGCTTCCCTTGCGTTCTCTTTAAAGCACCAGGGCAGGCATTGAAGCAGCCTAAACAGATTAGTTTAGCATCTATGGACACCTACTGTGCTCCAGGCTCCAGAAATTCAGACATGAGCAGGACCTCCATCCTTAAGGAGCTCACACCAGCATGGGCTGCAGAACATATAAACAAGTTAACACTGTAGAATACAACAAAATATATATGTTTGGTTTTTTTGTTTTTGTTTTTGTTTTTTTGAGATAGGATCTCACTATGTAGTTGAGACTGACCTGGAACTCATGATGTAGCCCAGGCTGGTCTTGAACTCACAGCGATCCTCCTGCCTCAGCCTCCCGAGTGCTGGGATTACAGGTGTGCACCACCACGCCCGGCCAACAAAATATATATGAAGACCAAAATCTCTCTATGGAAAGACTCCTGGAGCACAGCAGGTACAAATGCCATTGAGGAGCAGAAGGGGACAGGTTGGAAAGGGGTGACATTGGAGCTCTGTGGTGACTCATATGGAATCCCCAGCTTTGGTGGGAGAGGCTTTGGTATCTGCCAGGCCTGCTGCAGATCTTCCAGGCTGGGAACAGAGGGAGAGCCAGAGCGGAAGAGTTCAGGCCTGAGAGGCGCTGCTGATATCCAAACACTGCAAATGATCCCAGGCTCTAGAGAGTCATTCTCCGTGATTTCCTTGGAAGTTCAAGAAAAATATTTCATACACTGTAATGTGCAAGCTTCTCTACTTGGGATTTATGCTTATACACTGGGAAATTTCTGTCTAAATTTAGTTTATAACTAAGTTTTGAAATTAAGAAAATAAACAATATATGGACATAAAGTAGGCTAATGTTTTATGGGCAATATCTAATTGTTCCATGTAAAATATAGTATATTAAGCTAGGTGTGACAGCACACCCATGTAATTCCAGCACTTGGGAGGCTGAGCCAGCATTGCCTTGAGTTTGAAGCCAGCCTAAGATACATAGTAAGTTCAAGGCCAGTTTTTGGTTTGGTTTGGTTTTGGCTTTTTGGTATCAGGGATCAAATTCGGGACCTTGTGCTTGTGAGGCAGGCAAGGCAGGCAGCGGCACCACTGAGTTAAATTCCCACTCCGTGGCCAGTTTAAACTATGTAGCAAGACCTTGTCTCAAAAAACAAACAAAAAAATACAGTATATTAAATTACTCAGAATAAAGCTCAGTGGTAAAGCACATATAGTTCATATGCTCATAAGTTCAATCAGCAGCAGCAAAAACAAACAAACAAATAATCAAAATAAACAGATAAAAAAACCCTACATACCCAGGTGTGGAAGAGTATACCTGTTATCTCAGCATTTAGGAGGCTGAGGCAGGAGGGGCACTGCAAATTTGAGGCTAGCCTGTGCTACACAGAGTTCAAGGACAGCCTAAACTACATAGTGGGAACCTATCTCAAAAATTATTATATATAGTGGGACCCTGTCTCCGAATAGTTAGTGTATATATATAT